CTTGGCTTGCTTCCATGTTGGCCATTTTCTAACTCTTAGCTCCCTGGCACCACAGTGACGTCATCCAGTTCGAAAAGTGTTCAGGGCGGCAACAGTGGTAGTGAAATAGCTCGCAACTTGAGTTTGCGTTGAAATTCAAGCCGCAATCCCAGGCGGGGAAAACGTATTTAGTCGGCGCTGCTTTGGAATGAGAGGGAATCCTCCGAGAAAGTTGACCGGAAATAATAATAAGCAGAGCGCGGCGCGCGGGCTCCTCGGCTCAGTTTTTCCGCTCCTTTTCACGGCCGCACCAACATCACTCCTCTTCTCGCACCCGCTTTTGTTAAGTTCCAGCAACGAGTGCAAATTCAAAGCGAAATTAGAGAAGATTTGTACAAGTATAGACTGATAAGTTCACGGAAAAAAATGAAATGGAGAATTCGCATGCGCATTTTTTATTGCTTTATCTGAAAGTGCTTAAAGAGCTAATTTCACAGCATTTTTTACAATTTTTTTCTGATGTGGGAAATAGTAGAAAAATCGATTTACAAGTGAGAAAATGCACCGCCTAATAACGTTGTCTGGTGGAATTTCCCATTTAAACTCAAGTATTTCAGCAGATTAGATCATTTTGTCATATCTTCTCCAATGATTGTTCAATTCATGAACCGAGGGTGTCCTCGTGATCAATACACACAGTATTTTCCTCTTGAATACGAAAGTCATCAAATTTCAGACACCTGCAAATTTTCTATTGCTGATTTAACAATTTTGTAGTTGAAAAGTGTCCGACATGTTTCAATGCAGATTTTACAATAAATAAAACTAGTTTAACCACCCTCGATGTTAAATTAGCTTTCCAATATCGTAAAATGTACATTTAATATATGTCTGACTTTTCCTTAACAATTTAATTGTTAAGTAAGCAATTCACTTTTTTAAATGTCGCTCTTAACGTATATTTTAAATGTCTAACCGTAGAATTTCAAAATTAGTTGGCAACTCATAAACTCAAAAAAGGTACTTTTCTTTATGTTTACATAGAGTTTAAATTGAATTGAAGTGGTGGTGTAATGGAGAAAGGCGAAATAAGTTGGGTTACGTTAGGTCAAGCAACTAAACTAACTTCGCGGTAGTGTGTGCGGTATCATTCAATATGAAGGCGCTCTATTCGTCTTATTTCTCGTCACACGCTGAAGTCCGTCCTCCTGTATGTGGTCACAATCGTGAATGTTCACATTTATTCATTATGAAGAGCGTGAAGGCTTTCACTCCAGGCCGTTTTCAGCCCACAGTGAAAATATTTAATGTTTTTGGTACAGGAATGATTGCATATTTCACTGCAATATAAGTTTAAGAATGACACTTTATAGAAAATATATGCCTAAAAAATTACTAAAGTTGGAGAATATTTACGTATTTTGTTATAAGTGCAATCAGACTCTGGGAGCCCCTCAGACTATAAATTCGTCAAGATGCTGAAGTTTTCTGAAATGTTAACACTTCATTTTTCTTTAAGATTTCACAATGGATTTCTACATGAAATTGGGTGAGAAATTCGGCAGGTAAAAAGTTTGGTAATTTAACTCGGAGGTGAAGTAGGCTCACGGTGAGAGTCTTATAAGCTCATCAAAACGAGTAGAGGTGTCGTTTGTATACCCCAGCATTTTTTTACAACCAGGTGTTGTCTCTTGTTGCTTTAATGCGTATTTACGCGTTATTATCAAAAGATGCGCAAAAATGGAACTATGTATAAACTGCCATACCGAGGAAGAGTGAAGAGGGCATTCAAATGCAGTAAAAGTTCTCGAAAAAATATTAATGTCTGAGACATAATATGAACATTTTTCTTGTAAATATTAGGATGAGAGCCAATACGCTGCGACAATATATAATTTGAATTTATTCCTCACATTGGGTTATGATATATGCCGAGGCCTTTCGGTTACACAGAACTATCATCAAAGCAAATAGACAAAAACAACAATTTTAGCGTGTTGGCGCTCATTTTAATATTTTCAATATATACGCTGTTCAGCTCAACATGTTTCAATTTTTCTTTTGGTTTTTAGATACAATGGGTCAAACAATGGTGTTTTTTTTTTAAATAAAAAAAAATACATACGTTTTTAAGAAAATTCATCTATTCTGAGAACAAATTCGACCTATTGTTTGAATCCACAAACTGATTGTGGTGGACGCAAGTATCGTAAGACGTTATGTTGGAGTTTTTTTTAGCCAAGTTTAGCTCTGTAGTGAGATGTCAGCTTTATGCTGAATTTAACGCACGTTCGCTAAAAAACTCCAATATACCACATTGTTTGAATGTCTTGTCACCTTCCGCAACGCAGAAATTTACAGCAATCGTCTTTTTCGAAAAGGTGGAACTGTGAGATCGATCTTTCAGTGGTTTAACAGACCAGGATTTCAAAGATTAAATTCTTCAGTCCATTGCTCTTGATCCGACGTTCATACCTCAGTCAACGAAGTCTTTTGAATTGATAAAATCAATGCCGGAAAAGGGATTCTAAAACAGTTCAACCAGAAAGCGATACCAAAAGTCGGGTTAACCCGGCTTAGTGAACACCTCGAAGAGAAGGTGCAGCTGAAACCTCGTCGAGGAAAAACAACGCAACCCCAACGGAAAGCTCTCGTCCCACGCGTGGTTTCTGTTTATAGGGGCAGAGATCAAGCGCGTAACCCGATAGTTCTGTGTCTTCCTCAAACACGCAAATAAAAGGAATCGGGTTTTCCACGCCGAGACAGGTGGCCAGACTGCGCCCGCTGCCGATCAAATGAAAACGAGATGAAAAATGAGGAAAACATGGAAAGAGATAACGGAAGTTGACAGGTCGTTTGGGCCCGCGATACCGCGGTACCTCTCTCCCGCTACCCTCGCTCCGGCGCCTTTTCGCACGATGAATTTTCTATTGCCTTCACTCGCCAACATTTCTAATAAGCGGATAATGTTTCCTCACCCTTCCTTGCCTCTTTCATTTTTTACAACGCGTATCTATTGTTCTGTACCATCTGATTTTCCCCTCTGTTTACCTCTACAACCCCTCCTTTCTTGTTGTGTCGTTTATAATAATCGTGATTTTGGTTTCGTCTGCGCGGAAAGAATCGAATTGCTGATTTAACCATTCAATTGCTAAGAAAAGTGACTGACATGTTTTAACGTAGATTTTACAAAAAAATGCTACTTTAACCACTATTGTATGCGAATTTAACCATGGGGATGGTTAAAGTAGCATTTTTGCAATGTAAATTCTGCATTGGAACATCGCAGTCACTTTTTTTAGCAATTGAATTGCTAAATCAGCAATTTAATTTTTCCATGTGTGATTCTTAAGGACGAAGGAGGCTTGAAAAGGTTCAAAATATTCTGTGTTTTGATCGCTCGAGTCAAAATTTTTAATCTTCATTTCGAAATCTTTTATTGTATTTTATTTTCTTATTCGGGATCGAATCAAGATAACTCATTGGAATTCAATGAGATAATATATGAATGTACGTGAAAAAAATCTACAGGATACCTTAAAAAAACTGATGGTCAGTTATATCTCATCTGTTTTTTTTTGTTTTTTTTTATTTTTGGTCCTGATTGATTGAAAAACGATTCCGGAAAAACAAGGAAGTTATCTTAGCTATGCAACCTGGAAATGTTCGCCATCACTCTAACCTCAATCTGTTGGTTACTTTTCTTTGGATAAAATTAGGAAAATATGAAGATTTGCGATCAAATATACTAGTTTGTCGTTAATTGACTATCTCGTTGCGTCAAAATAGTGCGTTAAATGGAAGGAAAGCGTTTGAAAGAATTTACTTGTTTTGCTTCCCTGGTGAAAATTGGCAGTAGAATCTATGTTCCAAAATACCATAGACCTACAGCCGGCTGTAAGATTTTCAATAGCCTCTATAGCCGGCAACACAATTTCTTATAGCCTTTTATAGCCGATGGCGATTAAGCAACAGCCTGGCGATAAAGTGTATGCTGAACGTTACTAATTGCGGATGCTAGGACTTAGTGAGTTTTTGGACTACCGCTCTTTTTTTAGGCCGCAGTATCTTGATTTAATTTGCGAGGAAAGCTCCGTTCTTCTGAAGGATGCCTGACATTCCTAATATGTTGGAGCGCCTTCAATTTCGTATGATACTGTGCAATACCGCTGGTGTGAAATAGTTGCTTCAAGCGCCGCGGTACGCTGCGGCGCGGCGCGGCGCCCGGCGGGCGGGCAGCCAGCGCTGAACGCGCATTGGTGCCTGCAAACCTAACAGGGATACTTCACGCATTGCGCAATGCGTGAAGTATCCTTGTTAGGTTTGTAGGCGCCGGTGCGCCGCCGCTTCGCTTCGTATTAGGCTCTAATATTTAATCTCGCGGAGTCAGCGTTTTTCAACTCATGACTTTGAAATGTTTGCACAATCTGTATGGATTATTCTCATTTTAATTGATAAAAAAAAAAAATATGTAGTAAAGGAAAATATAATGTGCGTTTTGTAAATATTACGGTGATTCCGTACGAACTTAAGGATTTACAAAGCACAAAAATTTCTACTCAATTTCTTATAGCCTTTTATAGCCGATGGCGAGCAACAGCCAGGCGATAAAGTGTAAAGCCCGGCGCGGGAACTATAGCCCGGCTGTATACTTTTTTATCGCTTCATGTAGCCCGGCCGTATGATTTTTTCCACTTTCTACAGCCAGCTATATGATTTTCTATCGCCCTCTTCAGTCGGCTATAAGAACTCCTATGGTATTTTGAAACGCAGCTCCTATCGCCAATTTTTACCAGGGTTACTTTTTATTCTTCGGTCCTGATTTTTTGTGTTTATTTGATGACGATGGTCATTCATTCCTATAAAAACAAAAAATCAGGACCGAAGAATAAAAAGTAAGCAAAACAAGTAAACGTATTCGCCTGATAAAGAAATGAACTCAGCCAATTTGAAAGAATTGTTGCTCATCAGCTTAAAGTATATTTCGTTTGTCTTATTTCAGTGAAACTTTTCTGTTGCAGGTACTTACTTCCTGCTGTACGACTTCTTGGAGTTTTTCGAAAAAGACGGCCCGAGTCTCTTGCAGCGGGACAAGTTCTTGGACATCATCCATACGATATTCAAGAATTTTTCTCCTCTCGAAAAGGAAGCTATTATATTCCAGGTAAAAGAGTTATTTTATGCTGGCACCTTTTCTTATTTAATTAACTCATTTGAGCTTGTTAAAGTTTGTAATTAACGTTTTTTTCTTCCTGGAAATCTTTTCCAGTATAATTAACGTTTTTTTCTTCCTGGAAATCTTTTCCAGGGAATCAATTTATTTAATACGGTCTTCAGAAGCACTCAAAAGGGAATAGTATGTTGTTCGATAAACCAATGAGAATGTAAAAACGTGTTCTACGTAAAACGTGTAAGACATGCCTATTTATTTTAATCATATACGGGCTGATTAAAGGGTTATTTCACGCTTATTTCCTGACGTGAATAAGAAAATAAACGTTATAAAGGAGGAGCGGTAGTCTTGAAAGAAAAATGGACATATTTATGCTGAAAGGAATCATGTTGCATGTAAACTGTATGCACTTAGTTCCCTCTAGCATAAATACGCCCAAATGAAGTTTTCCCTCGAGTTTTCAAAAATTAATCAGTGGTTTCGAGATTTTAAGTAGTAGAGATACCGTGTACATCAGAACAGATCAGTTTATAAGAATATTAAAAACACCTAAGTGATATTGAAGTCCAATTAGGCGTTGTGTTATTCCTGTTTGTGTCATAGCCCAACAGTCCCTGGCATCCTCGCCCATTTTTCCTCCACCCTCATCTGCATCTTTACCTGAAACATTTTGCAAGTCCTTTTCACGTTAGTTGGACGTACTTCTGCCAAACAGACCTATGTGCATTGAGACATAAGCCCTGAGATCCATAAGAATATATGCATGGCAGGGCTCACGTCATAAAGCACATAGTTCCGTTTGATAGAAATACGTCCAGTTGTTGGTGCATTCTGCCGTGCTCGACAAAAACGCGGTCAACATTCAAAAGTTGTCAAATTCATTTTGTTTAAATGTAAAATTTCTGGAAAACCTGAGAATTATTTTCTTTAAAATTCTCAGAGAATTGTCTTCGCAATTAAAACAGGGCTGCCACAGTCAAGGAATACCGGGAAACCGGAAAATTTCTGGGAATTTTGAAAGGTCAGGGAAAATGACATAAGTGTCACGAAAAAAATGGTCAAGTCAACTTCATGTGCTTTCGAGAATAGGTTGGATGTTCCGAACAGCGGATTTCGCCTGAGAACTACTCCGAAGTATGTCTTTTTTATCATCCGGCATATCGTCAATTGTCAGGGAGTCTTAAAATGACAAGTCGGGGAAATCAGGGATATGTCAGGGAATTTCATTTTCCAAATTCTGTGGCAACCCTGTTAAAACCAAATTTCATGGAAAAATATTCAAACATTCTCTCAAAAATAAATAACGCACCGAGGGAATTTTTGCAACATCCGACTGATGATACAATGTTGTTCCTTAGCCTGGCAGTATCCCAGCCCGCGTGAGAGCAGTTATAATGGTTTCATCACGGCCGTAAATGCAACTGCAAACACGAGACCCTAAAGCTAAGCCGGAGCCGTGACGGGCCAGCGTAATCCGGCCGCACGAGCTTTCGCACACGTGTCTTACAGGTTTCAGGACGTAAATCCTCGTCTGTTTACTCCATTCGGACGTATTTCTGCCAAACGGAACTATGTGCATTATGACGTGAGCCCTATTATGCATATATTCTTATGGGTCTTAGGGCTCATGTCTTAATGCACATAGTTCCGTTTGACAGAAATACTTCCATTTCGTTGTCCCGATTACGGTCCTCCGACCAGTAACCCAAGTCGAATATGTAAATGGACCTCTTATACCGGGATGGGATCCGCGTCTCGGAATTCGCGCATCAACTCAGACGCGAAATGCAGCGCAAAACGGGACCCCGACATTGCAAAATTGAACATATTTATGCTAAAAGGAACTATGTGCATAAGGATTGCGTGTAACATAGTTCCTTTTTGCATAAATATGTCCAATTGTATCTGCTCGTGTACTGTCCTGCCGTGCTAAGGAAAAACGCCGTATGAACCTTCGTCAGTTGCCGAATTTCCTTTTATCAAATACGAATTCAAGCGAATACGATGCCGATGTTTTTCTATTATCCTCCCTTTTTAAACGTAGACATAGAAGATCATCCTCTGAGTTCCCGATCTGACCATAAAAGCTCACAACAACTCTGTTTCGAATGCATCAAGTGTGACGGTTGGCTGCTCTTTTGGGCCCTAAGGCCTCGATGAAACGGCATGTCCGTTCTTCTCTTACCCAGGTACTCTACTTCGGCGTTAATTAAACGTTAACTAGCATGTGCCTGACTCAGGAGGAGGGAAGGGTTCAAAAAACATTAAAAGAACAAAATAAATAAAAGCCTGGCGTCATTCATATAGACGGCTTCACGAGTTAAATATTTTTACGAGATTTGACCGGGCTCCAGAGCCGGGAAATATGAAATATTTGTTTGTTTGCACTCGAAATCATCCGGTTGAACTAACGGAGCTCTATGATGGTCGAGTGTGGCGGCACTGCGTGGAAAAATCCACACTAACTACCACTCGAAACGAGCATTAATTATAGCCGCGAGAGAGACACTTTTTGCAGCGGCTCCGTTTGCTTTTGCTTTTGCCCCGGTTCGCTCGGGCGAAAAATGTGGGTTGAGAACTGCTCACCCCGATTCCAACGAGTGCCAACAATCGCCGACTCAACCTTGTTCAGAATTCTAAATCCGCGACCTCTAAGCCAAATTTGACAACGCTCCCCATCAACCGCAGGTGTCCTGCACCCCTGTCTCATTAATGCACAGAATCGCTGCAAGTAAAGTTGCTGCACCAGTAATTTGAAGCGAGCCTGGTAATATCTCAGTTAGCGGACTCTAGCCGCGAGTGCTGGTTTCTCGATACGGCCTCAGGCGTTATTCGATCTTAGTTCAACACCAATGGGCCAGGATGATTTCGATAGCTTGATGTCGAGCGATCGAACTCCTGGTTTTCTATTGGTGTTTCACTTTCAACAAGCGCTTGTAACTCGCAAGTGGGCCAGAGACTCTCCTTTTCTCTCGGACTCTCCATCCTCAGTCTTGCTCGCAGATTGTAGAGAGGGCTCATCCCTAGCGAAAGGATCTAATTAGGGTAAATTAAAAACACCTACCAGGGTCGGATCTAGCGAAGGGCCATTTTCGCATACCTCCCCCTGGAAGCACATGAGGAGGGAAGAAAGAGCAGAGAGTAAAGGAAGGGGGAAAAGGGAGGAAAGAAAAAGAGTAAAAGTAACCTATCAAAAATTTTACCCCAGTTTCATTTCTCTTTTCTTCTTAAGGGGGAGGGGGCGGAAGAGGATCCACTCGTTTAACCTAAAAAGAAAATCGCCTGGTTTAGCCCAGTCTGCCGTGCTAAGGAAGAACGCCGTATGAGCCTTCAGACGTTGCCAGATATTCTTCAATAAAACGACGATTTACTAGGAATACCGTGAATATTTTTCCTCAATTTTTTCAGACAATCTTGTTCGCAATTTTATCTAAAACGTCTGAAAATTTTAATGGAAAATTCGCATAATTTTCTTCAAAAATACACGTTTTATCCGGGGCAATTTGGCAACTCTGGAATGTTCATAGGCGTTTTTCCTTAGCACGGTAGTACTACCCTCTTGTTTGCGCTGATTTTTCCAAATACTCTACACGCTAGAGCCAACTCCAGTATTTTACAAATATTATGTTAAAATTACTTGAGACATGTATTTAAGTGGGGTCCATTTTGTACAATTGTCTCGGAAAAGTCTGCTAACACCCAATTCTGGGGATATTCTCCAAGGCCCCCACTCTGTATTACGAAATGACCCCTTTTCTCTCGAGATGTTTCTTTATCCGCCAGTGTTGCTTGCGTGCCTTGCTGCCATCGAAGAAAATTCTGTGAAAGATACGATCCGGGGTGTTTTAACTGAGCACTCGAACAATTAAAGTAGGAGTGGAAATATCGAAGTTCCTGCACCAAACTGTTTTTTCGGACCTCGAGTGAGTAAGGGCCAGGGACCGGATGTCTGATATATGCTGAAATACACGTGGAAGTTAAACTAGACGGGGTTTGAGCATACTATTAGCATTGCCGAGACACAAGAAAGAAATGCACGCCCGAAATAATGCACGGGAGAAACTGACAGGTTCGTTTCAGGCAGCGCATAGTCTCCTGTCGTCTGCACGTCAAGGCACGGATGTTTTTGCGCTCAGCTTCTCTCGCTGAAAATACCGATCCGATCGGGAGGAACTGACGAGCGTAAAACAAAATATAGCTGAATATTGCCGCGCTATTGCCTTTGCAATGAAAATTTAAAGTAAATAAATACATCGATCGAACCGAAAAGTTGTATACGTGTATTGGGAATTCTATTCACAAGGCCCATAACCTTGGTGGCAGAGGGGTAACATGAATCCTTTCTAATGAGTAATCGCCTCGCAAATGGACCACGTTAAGCAGAAAGAAACCAAATCAGGCAATTTAATTTTTATTATAAAAACGGTTGTGCGGATTTTTGTGCAAATTTCAGTGAATTTTCTGCATAGTACCAAGCAAGTTCCTTAACATTTTCAAAGGAATCCGCACAAACGCTCTCTTGTAAAAAATTAGATTTGGCGATAGCTGATGTGGCTGGATTCTTTCCTGCTAAGCGCGATCTAAATAAAGAATCGCCTAACTCCGATGAAAGGTCTGTGCACATGAGTGGTTTTCTCTTGAGCAGGTTGTAAGGGTTCCCAGCGTCTGACTCCGTGAGCGCGAATTCGGTTAATAAGTAGAGGGTGTAGCCACAAGTTTTCTAGTATTTACCCAAAAGGGCCTCTTGGCCCGCCGTGAAGTTTTCGGAGGAGCGGGGGCTGCGGTTCGCGACTAAGGAGTAACTCAAATGAAAGAACGTATTCAACTATTTGCTCGGACGAATTAATTTGATGAAATTCATCCCGCCAAGAAGTTTGAACTGGGATCAAGAATTCCTCACCGAGAGGGAATATGAATTTTCTCTTGATTCCACCCGGAACCGCACAGTGAGCTTTCGCGGTCCTCTCCCGACTATTGGGATCGATGTTGTCAGGATAATGATGATTATCTGGATGCTCATGACATTAATATGGAACATTAATAACATCTCGGATATTAATGTGCATACAAAATTAACCAATTTTAAAAGTAAGTACACTTGTCAGTCGGTAATTAATAATGGCTCAATGTAACTAGAAATTTATTTCAAAATATATTTGGACTACATTTAGGCCGCGCTAGCAGAAACAAACCAAACCATATCAGCGATTGCCAAAATTCAGTTGGACAATTTAATTTTTTACATGAAAACGATTGTGCGGATTTTTGTACAAATTTCAGTGAATTTTCTGCATGGTACGAAACGGATTGCTCAGAATTTTCAAAAAAAATCCGCACAAACGTTCGCTTGTAAAAAATGAAAATGTCCGGTTAAAGGCAATAGCTGATGTGGCTTCGTTCCTCTCTGCTGAACGCTGTCCATTTTGCAATTAGGACTTACGATTTCTAAACCCATCCGTTAAAAGATTTATATGCATTGGGAAACAAGTGGCACGCTTTTTCCGCAAATTGTAGCTACAAATTGTAGCTACAAATTGTAGTTCCTACTTGAAAAATGTAGTCCAGCTTTGATAGTTTGCCGGAGTCATCCTTTCCTCACAAACCTCAAGAATGACCCGTCGAAAAGAGTTTTGGTTTTATTCTCATTGGAGCACATCAATCGCTCTGTACTGAAATGAAGTAGACACCTTTTTCATTTTTCCTATAAATTTTACCTTTAAAATTTTTGGATTTGTTTCACCCTTAGAAAAGAGCGGGCTCATTCATGCAGCACTATTACATTATTAACATACTTCATCACATTATTACTCATCATTATTATTATTTCTCATCATTATTTATGAGTAAATACTGACTTTTCTCAGTGCCTCGTGGAAGTTCAATATCTGTGGAAGTTTGAAATTTCCTGAATTCCCAGAGTTGGCTTTTTTGAGCATACTGACGGCAAAATTAAAGAAACTACGCATCTTAATAGTGGAATTTTAAAGTCTACATTTCTCTTTTTTAAAAAAGAGAATGGATCAAACTCAACTCTCGAAATTGTCACTGAATATTCGTTATGAAAAGATTTCGTGAGAGTTTAGAATTTCATAGAGTTTTGTTATATGGAGATTTCATCTGATATTGAATATTTTTGCATTCAGTAAATAAAGTATGATCGGAAAATCGTGACAAGTCCTTTCTAAAAAAAGGTTGGAAAGGTTGGTTTCTTTATGCTCTCATTCAATTGTGCGCTTGAGCGTGAAAATGTCTGCAGCGGCTTGTGGCTGTTTTTCCAAGACTCATTTATTTTTCTTTCCTTTATTTTCTCCAAATCTACCTCCGGCAACAGAAACAATTTTTTTGGCATCGTCAACTTTCCTGCGGTTCACTTTCTTTTTTGCACTTTTTCACTCGGGGATAAACTTTGTTCATCGTAAAACGTACATCTCTGATAAAACTCAAACTCGAGAAAAATGGAAGTAGGAGAGGATCAGAGTTGGTTCAATGACCACTAAATCGGTGTTTTTGCTCATTTTTTAACGCGCAATATCTTTATTGAAACGAAAACTCCAATTGAAGAACTTGTGATTTATACCAAATATGATACTGGCGTTTTTGCATCCGTGTTACATGTTAAAAGTCAGACTAAGATGCAATGCACCTTGATTTCCAACGTTGCAGATTTACCCTTACTTTTTTTTAAATTCTTCGAGGACTGCTGGTCACCCTCATTGCGCAAAATTTTGCGTGACTTTCATATGCTCTTTCAAGAATATTCACAAAAATTGTGTACACTAACGTGCAACAACAATACCTGAAGACGTTCAATGCGATCAGAAAGTTTGATACTTGAAAAACCATGCATTCTGTTTTGTATTCCGTAGGTTAAAAAAAAGTAAAATTAAAATTCTGACTATTAATTTGAAAAAAAGCATGCCATAATTTTAGTAATAGGTTGAAACTCCAAAGCCATGGCAAAAGTTCCTGGCCGCTTGTTGGTTTAAAGATTTTTTAGTATACTTCCCGAAGGGAATAAACTATTTCTCTAAGCCCTTTTTCCATTTTATGAATCAACTTTTTCAATTAAAGCTACATGATTTCAATACAAGCTGATCGACGCTGGATCGGCCAAGTTTGAAAATCACTTCTCGCCTTTTAAAAGGTGCTTAAAGGTGGTATCATCATGAAAAACTACAGAGGTCGCCCCTGTAATTATAGAGGTAAGAACTTGGCATGGAGGTGGAGTCAAGCACAAATGCAGGGTTGTCATACTGCATGCAAGACTCTAACGTCGGCAAGCTTTTTCAGTCGATAAACAGAGTTTTTTAAGCAAGTTGAAGAACAAAAAAATTCAATCTCATTGCCCGTAATTTGAAACTCATCCTTTATTTTTTTTCTAATCTTCACAGCTTATTGCAAGTGGTTGTATTTGAAACTAAATGTGTTCCTCTTCAATTGGCCTGTTTTCATATTTGATTGCAGTACACGGACTGGGAAAATCTAGGTGACGGTTACGCGAATCAGAAAATGATCGGAGAAATTGTTGGTGATTATTTCTTCATCTGTCCATCCAACTATTTCGCTCAAGTCATGTCAGACAACGGTGCCAAAATCTACTATTACTACTTCACGCAGGTAATACACAAATTGTCTCTTTTTTTCCTTTACCACTATTAACGATAATGATTCCTCTCAACAAATCGCACACTGGTCTGAAATAACTTTGAAACCACGGCCCCTTTGAATATAGCAAATAAGATATTTTTTAAAAGTTGGAGCACTCACTTGGACCGTACTTCATAAGATAATTCAGACTATTTCGCGATGTATATGTGTACGCTTATACTGTTACTTGCTATCGGAGATCGCTATATAAACTTGTTAATTTTTTTTTTCATTACGGAGGAATATTCTGCTCATTGGCGTAGACAAGGGGGGTGGTCTAGGGGGTCAGGATCCCCCTCTCCCACTTAGCCTCGTTGATTGTACCTTTTTTTTACTACTTTTGGAGGGCAGACATAAAATATTATTAGGGACGTACACAAAATAATGTAAATGGACCCCCCCCCCTTAAAGAATTCTTAGCTACACCACCGATTATGATAAAATTTTAAGTATTCTTCTTTGAGATATCAAATAGTTTTATCCAGGATTCCACGAAGCTCATATCTAAATATTTGCATGAGAATTATTCATAACTTTCCTCGAAAATGATTAATTTAAACTGAGATTTTCTATCATCCGGTTGTACATCCGACACTCCTCTTCAGCACAACAGACTACGAACACGATGCACCTCAGAGCGAATTTAGCTTCAGTAATTTTCTGAATTACTTTGAACTTTTAAAACTATGAATTTTGCGACACTACGGAATCGTTATATTATCAAAATCCATTGGATCAACTCCAAAGTAACCTGGTTTGTCGGTAGAAATCCCTTTTTAGACGAGTGCATCAAAACCGAACAAAAAATTAACTCGCAAAAAGAGAGATCAAGCTGTTGATTTGGAGCTTTTTTTCTCTGCGCGCGTGTTAAATCAACATTTGGTGCCTCATCACATACTGGTTGGACGACGCGACTTTGTTTCTGAAGAGAGCACATAGCAAACAAAAAAAAACGGAAAAAAGAGGATAATTATATTAGCACCTGGATTACGAGTGTAATTGACTGCCACTAGCGCTGCTGCGAGAAAAAAAGAAAATACTTGCTTTCGGCGAAAAAAGGTTCAAACATGACGTCACGTATTCTCGTTGCAGAGTTTGGTTCCACGTAAAGCCCTCCCTTCCTCACCTTTCTCATTGTTAATTCACCGCAGCACCAATTGTATTTTACCGTGCCGTGAGCACCTACATAAGGAGGGCATTGCCACATTTGTGCCTCGCTCTGATTGGTGCACCAGTTTCAGGTCTTACTTGATGCTGTAAACCGTAAAGTGCCAGTGTTTTCAAACCCAGCTTTGAAAAATTCGTATTTTCAAGAAGAAAATGAAATATACTCACACGGAATGTGTGATTCTCGGTAAAAATATTCATAAAACTTTGTCAATAAGTCATTTCAATACTCGGAAGTTTAAAAATGTTTACTTCATTCCCAAAATGTGAGATCCATAATGACGACTGTAATCAAGCTTACCTACATTTGAAAAGGTAGGCAAAAGCAGGTGCGGCAAGGTTGGAACAATGGTATTTAGAGTACCTATATAGAAATAGTATTTTTATGTCAATCCTTTCAGCACAGAAAAATTGAGCCACTTGCTGCTCTGTCGGAACTCTGTTTTTATACTCACGAACGCTTTTTGCCTCTACTTTGGGACCAATTTAAACAAATAAGATGGTGAACGGTACCAGAGTTCTAGATGTGTTGAAACCTTTTCAATTTCCAACTTCTGAATTAAGTTTTGAGCGGATTTGAATGGATAAACCGATTTCCAGTTAGAAGAATATAATACATTTAACGCTGCAAAATGTCCATTTCCAAATTACATTTTGAGTAAAAAGTTGTTTGGCGTTTCTATCTGAAAATTTCTTTGTTTATTTTTTCCTCTAATTGCGAGCTAAAATCAGCACAATTTTAGACAGTAAGTGCGCAGCCATATATTTGTAAAAAATTGAGCAGATTGAGTTAATTTTGTATCTTAGAACTGAGTGACGTTCCTCTATCCAGGCAACAAACATTTTTTCTAAAATTTTATTGACTTGAAATATGTGTATTCTTGCAATTTTTACATTGTGTCTCTTTTGAGGCGTGAATTCGTGAAATCCTAGACAGACCATTAAAAATCGTAAATTCCAAATTTGAATTTTAAAAAGCGACATAATTACACAGCGCAAGCATTAGTTACACGCAGAGAAACCAAGTCGATACTCACAACTTTCACGTACGTTTCATGTAATTTTTGCCACACTGGTCTCGGATGACCCCTCCATAGTGATCACCGGCGGACTAGAGAGATGGTCATCACTGAGGAGATGGGCGGCTCAAAACTGATCTGCGAGTTGATCATTAAATTTCATAGTCAAAGCGATAGACAAAGGAGACAAGGGTAAAATGAAGCGATACTATTGGTTGGATCGAGTGGCTGCTATAGACTGAGGGGGAAAAGAATGGACTAACTATAGGGTCCTTAGAGGGTTACCGTTGGTTAGTCTATATAACTTACCTCCTTAGTCCATTGCATCCACCCGCTTCCACCAGGGTTCCTCTATTTTTTCTTTGTCTATAGCTTTGTCTATCTCTCTACGTCAATTTCAATAATCAGCTCGCTGATACAAATTCAGCGCTAGTGAAAGCTATGAGTAAAACGGCTAAGTTTTTCTGTGTACGGAAAAATAGTCTCTTGGAGCTCGAGTCCAGACTCTTAAGAAATTGAACAAGAAAAAATACTCTTGATTCGATCGGAATTTCGCTTGAATCAAAAGGAAACCCGCCTGAATTAAGAGGCTTTGCTCTCGATCCAAGAAAAAATCCGATTGAATCAAGAGTATTTTTTCTCGTCAAAAGTTTTATGAGTCTGGGCTCTGGATCCAAGAGACTTTTTTTTCAGTGTTCAATCCGTTTTTTCCTCTTTTCTAGATGCTCGTTTTCAAATATCAACCGTTCAGGAATTATTTTGGTCAGTCTAAGAGTTTACGGATCCCCACGGCTCCCAGGAATCCCTATACCTACGGGTAGGTAGAGTCCCTTTATGAAAGTAAAGACAATACGAATCAATTTCTAATTGGTTCCCGTATTTTAGGCCTCCACAGTGTCACAAGCGGGAATAAAGATTGCATTTCCACCAATTGCAAAGGTTATAAACCAGAATGGGAACGTCAAGGAGCAAACGGAATGACAGAAGGAACGGAGTCAGGAATGGAGATGTTGCAAGTGTGAGGAATTTGCGATTTGACTATTGATTCTTTTGTAAAAGTTCGCGAGAAACACGATGAAGCCACTGGTTTTCCCTGAAATCAACTCCCAAGCTCAAAAAAACCTTTCAAAGTTGAGGGCGTAATGGAGGGGATATCCTATGCTATCCTGAGAGTCCACCCTTACATCAAGACATACTCTCCATGGGAGCAAATACATTGACAGGGCTACTACTTTATATTTGGGGAATCTTAAACTTAAAACACGGCAGCCCTGCTAATGTATTTGCTCCCTATCTTTGCATGGAGAGCTTGTCTTGATGTAGACGTGGACTCTCAGGATAGCGCGGGATATAATCTCCATTACAGCCTCAACTTCGAGAGCGTTTTTTGAGCTTGGGAGTTAATTTTTAGAGAAAATCAGTGGGACCATGGTGTTTCTCCAGAATTTTTCATAAGAATCAAGAGTCAAATCGCGAATCCCTGACACATGCAACATCTCCACTCGGGAATGAGTTGATAAAAGATTACGAAAAACGTCCAATTTGTGTGATCTTTATTCTCGTTCGTGACATCCAGGAGCCGCGTTGTCGTACCTCTCTGTAAAGGGACTCTAAGCGTAGGTATCCAATGTACCGCTTTTCGGGGATACCTGGGGAGCCTCGGGTTGCCTTCCGGTGGCTGGAACTAAGCGTGGGTTGTTTGCTTTGTTTTCTTCAGCGGACGAGCACTAATTTGTGGGGCGAGTGGATGGGGGTGATGCACGGCGACGAGGTGGAGTATGTGTTCGGGCACCCGCTCAACATGTCGCTCCAGTACAATGCCCGCGAACGGGACCTCAGCAATCGAATTATGGAAGCTTTCTCCAAATTCGCAATGACAGGGTAAGCGCAATATCCGTCCCACCTGTCCCGCCTGTCCTGCCTGTCCCGCCGGATCCGACCATCCGTCCTCAGCTGTCACCCCGACCAAACAACCTCCGATTCGTCTTACTCCAACTTTCCGTCACCTTCGCCAATACCTCCAACTGGCAGCTCAAATAACTTTCCACTTTTTCTCGTCCACATGTGACCCTTCAAAGGAGAACCTACCTCAGTCCTCAGAAAGTCAATTCGTGACCGTCCACGAGCGAATCACTGAAAAAAGAGTATCACAATCCCAGGTATACCCCTGGCTGATTTTGGCGCCAAATATACGAGTAGTTGCACTAGCTGGAGGCATGGTTGATCCAACCACGATTTCGGCAGACTCAATCGTACTTCTGACTGGTGCAACTACTCTCATATCTAGCGCCAAAATCAGCCAAAAGTATAGTTGGGATTGTGATAATTTTTTTCCGTGTGGACATTAGCCTACGAAAAATTAAATTTGATTACATAGAGGAACATAGAGGGGTGCGCTGCATGATCGGAACCACAATGGGGCTGAGGGTCTGCCCCCCCCCCCTCCATAAATTTAATTGACCACTCATTTATGTAAAAGATTGCGCTAAATAAGTGTGCGAAATATTTTTAAGCTTTTGAATTTTAATTCGATCAATTTGTCGGAAAAAGCAGCGCAAAATTGCCTCTGAGACGACTGAAGTTTACAAAACTTTCCGGGGAAGGACCACGGATTTCACTTTGAGACCAGAAAAATCCTCTACGGGAAAAACCCACACATACTCTTGACGGAGTATTTTTAAGTGTCTCTAGCCCTTGACTAGGTGTCCTTCTGCTCCCACCCACAAAAGTTTGTAGTTCCGCCTATGGTGCTCTGCGAACATTTGGCACAAAACATTAGACGCAAAATGTCAAATCATACCGCAGCTATCGTAGTTTGAGGCTTACAGCTCAGAGACCATCATTTTGAGAAAAAGCTACTAGAAATTAAATAGGCTCACACAAAACCGGCTGATGTTGCTTTATCCAGTTCTTAGGTAAACTACCCGACATAGTCTATTCAAAACAATCTTAATTTTTCTTCTTATTCAGTCTATTCCATATATCTCAAGCCATAAAGTTAGCTTCTTTCTCATGTAAAAAAATTGATATACATGAGCCGACAAAAAGCAGAAAAAAATGTTTCAGGAAACTTCCCACATCCCTTAGATCCTAGGATCGCAGGCTTGCGACGTATAATGGAGGCTCACTGGCGCCTGCAAACCTAAGTGGATACATCACGCATTGCACAATGCTTGAAGTATCCACTTAGGTTTGTAGGAGCCAATGCGCGTTTGGATTTTGTGTACACCACGGGCGGCAGGTCTAAAGCGGCAGATACACTTCTGGGTAGAACGCGTGTGTTGAAAGTGAAGCACCAATAGGCAACAAGGATTTCGAATCTAGCGATCGAAATTCTAACCCTAGATTAACTCCTAATCTTGGTAATGATGTTTACGAATAAATTCAAACATTCCATTCATGGAAGAAAAAATAATTTACTTGGGTTAAATTAAACGCTTAACTTCACTGTGACAGTCTCAGCAATATAAAAATATGGCAACCTCAATCTTAACGCTTTGACTCAGCTGTAGCAAGCTATACGCACTTTGAACAACGCAGTATGAGAAAGAAACCATGCTCGATTAAAAGGTCTGCCTAAGCCGTTGTAGTGCGCGATTTGACTCGCGTACTGTATTGTTTTTCTTGTGACCGAGCATTCTTTCCCGTGACCGATGGACAATATATGTAAAAACGTTAATACCTTATCCAGGAGTTGATTTCAGTAGTATTCGTTGCGCGAATCGTGTTCAACGTGAATTCTGGTGAAGAATCATGTATGAGAGTGCCTAAATCCTTACCTTTTTCAATGATCCATTCAATCTGAAGAAGCGAACATGGAGAACTTGCCTAACATTTCTCTGAAAAAATATTTTATCGGGAGAAACAAGACAACGTTGAAGTACTCATACGATGTCTAAACACAAGATGAGCCTTTTCAGCCCCATTATTCAATTCCGCGATTATTCTAACGCGAGTTCGAATAATCGCGCCTAGCACAGAGCGGCCGGCCGGCGTTAAACTCATACTAGCGCCTGCAAGACTGCATGAATACTTCTCGCATTGCGCCAAACGCAGTGCAGTGTGCGCGCCTTGATCGTTGTAATTTCTCGGTATCAGACCCATCGCCCCCGGTGCGGTGGACACAATATCCAACTAGTGTACAACGCGAGCTTGCAATGCCGCGAGCCCGTGCTGATGAAAATGAAATGCTGATCAAATCGTTGTCAAATTTTAATCATCTTGGCTTTTAATTGGGTGAAATTCGTGTCCCTTTTCCCCAACAGGAGACCTTGCAGTCTTTAAACAAAGGTCTTTAAACAAAGCGACTTTTAAACAAAGGTCTAGGACGTAAGAGTTCTTTACGTCCAGCTAGAATAAATGAAATGCACAGTAAAATAAATGAAGAGAAGGGGGTGTGTAAATTAAGCTTTAAGAATGATGACACCTGCTTTTATTTATTTGTTTATGTATTTATTTTAAAGGAAACCAACAGGAGAGGATGTGACTTGGCCGCAGTATACGAGGAGCAATCCACAATACTTTATATTTCATGCGACCACAAGTGGACTAGGGAGTGGACCGCGCTTAACCGCTTGTCAATTCTGGAACGAATTTTTGCCCAAACTAAGAAATGTGTCTGAAAATATATCCTCGACGACAGGTACGAAAATCGACGGAAATAACTGAGCGATTTCATGGTAACGAGAATAGTAGTGTTGTCAGTTCAGTAGAAGGCATTTGTAGGGACTTTCAACAAAAATGGAAAAATTCCATCCTCAAATCATGAAAAAATACAACTGGGGAGCTTTTTGCAGGTAGGACCCTAACTGATGATACACCCCCAAAAAAGTGAAATTCTGCTTCTTTTCCTACTTTTAGACAAAATAATTAATTGAACCCGTAAGAAAAAATTCTCAGTAAAAATTTCCATCACAAAATAGTATTTCAAACGATTTTTAGCACCTGAGTAGACACTTATCTTGAAATTTTCAGCATGTCAGAGAATACAGCATTTTTAGAATTTAAACATTTAAAAATATGAAAAAGCAATTTAAGAGGAAGAGACAAAAAGAGTTTGTAGGTTTGATGAGATATTTTTCCACAAATATTGAGAACTCGTGAGCTCTCCGCCATAAATTCACCAAATTTTGTAGACACTCAAAATTTAGCTATCTGCCTAGGCATTTGACAAAATGCCTCATTTCACTATTTGCCTGCGACATCTATATAGCTCGTAAGTACGGTTTCCACGGCCGGAGTTTTTTTTATCATTGTGTTTGATGTATCGAATACAATCACTGGTAAAAAAAAAAAAAAAAAAACCTCTTGGACCAATGCCGCGGTGCATTGACTTAAGAGTGCAGTTTCTTGTCGCCGGATTTAAGAGTCTTGAACTCTTGTTTCAAGCGGATTTTGCATTGATTCAATTCAAAATCCGCTTGAAACAAGAGTCCAGACTCTTAAATCCGGCGACAAGAAACTGCACTCTTGAACCAAGAGGTTTTTTTTACCAGTGATGCATTTGCTTGGTTTTTCTCTCACGTTGATTTTCGTGTGGTTTTTTGGCAGACATCAAAAGCTGCTGTAGCCAAGAGATGAGCCTGGGCGACTGCAACAACACCGCCCTGCGAGTGAGCGACAGCGGCGGTCGGGCGGCGCCGGAAATGGGCTTCCTCCTCTTGGCGCTGTTTCCGGTCCTGCTCACGTCCATCAGATAAGCACCGGGCATGGCTGGCGGGTCACCGCTCGACACAGCTCCGGCGGCTCCCATCGCGATGCGCCCTCGGCCGCGCCGCCACCCGCGACAAAACACCCACGCAGACACCGGCCACTCCGTCCCGTCTCGCCGCCGTCACTTCCGTCCGTCTGCAAATCTGGAACCCACTCGTGGAAGACTCCGCCGTTGAGGCCTCATCTGGGGGAAAACACACGGAAAAAAATGAAATTGCTGATTCAACAACTTTGTAGTCAAAAAAAGTGGCAGGCATGTCGTCGTCTCCCGGGCGAAAGAACGTAACTCCATTCCAAGGTTGTCAAATCGACTCAAACAATCAATTTGTTTACGAGGAAGTACTTGCGGGATTTTCGTCCAAAATCGTTCTGATTTTTTAATGAGATCAGAGGAAAAATCAGCGAAATTTCAGTATAAAATATCCAAGATTCTCCGAGTAAAAATGCAATATCTGGCGGGAAATTTGACAACATTGAAATAAAGTCACGCTCTTTCGTGAGGGGAACGACGATGTTTCAATGTAGATTTTACAATTGAAAAAATGCTAATTTAACCACCCCCGCTTTCCACTATAGTAATTGTAAAATGTACATTTGAAACATGTCGCTCATATTTTTTAACAATTCAATGGAGAATTTGCATGCAAATTTTTTGTTGCTTCGTCTGAAAGTGCTTTAAAGAGCTGATGCCATAATTTTTTTCTGATATTGAAAATAGTGTAAAAATATATTTAAAACTGAGAAAATGCACCGCCTAGTGATGTCGTCTGGCGGCATTTTCCATTTAAACACGTGTATTTTAGCAGATTAGATCATTTTGTCATATCTTCTCCAATAATTGTTTATTTCATGACCCAAGGGTATACTCGAGTTCAGTTCACTCAGTAGTCTCCTTTTAAAAACGAAATTCATCAAATTTCAGACATCTGCAAATTCTCTATTGTTAAATCAGCAATCTATATTGTCCGTGCATTAAATGATGGGCGAAATTTCACGATCGAACGATGCACTTTTGTAGCACAACTGAACATGCCGGTGTGTTTAAGTCACGGAATAATCGTCACAAACCAGGATTTTTGACGAATTCGTAATTTGTGAACTTACGGCTCTTACGTGACGTTCTTCCTAAAATGAGTCAGTAATCGCGAATTTGTTCAATTATTTAATCTTTGCTGCAATATGCTACAAACTGCTTTGATGAGATTTTCTCCGGTTTTTAATGAAAATTATCAAAATATGCACGTAAAAATCCCCTCCAAAATAGATTACGATAAGCAAACATTTTCGCATGAATGACGTGAAAGAGCTATTTTTGGATTAAAATCGTTTTCAATTTTCGAAATTTGTGTGTAATCTTCAAACAGACGATGGAAGTTCTCTCAATAAAATAGTCTCAGTTTCAATAAAAATTGGAAAAAATCACTATTTGGCTTTCGGGGAATTGCTGAGTTTTAACACCATCAAATTCAAATAGTGCATCATTAGCAAGGACCATTTTGGTCAGGATCCTTGATTAGTTTCTTGGCGCAACATACCGGTGTGCTCAGAGGAGATTTTCCGCTACTACTCTATTCATGAACTGCAGTAACCACCAAACAAAAACAAATTTTAAAAAAACCCGCCGTAGGGAATGAAGGACAGTTAATAACTGGACTCCACTTTGCAATTTGGAACTATAGATTCTAGCCCTGTTTAAAAACAACGTTTGTGGCATTAGTTTCTCTATGCACATAAGTGTTTTTCCAGAAGAGCCAGAATTTATAGTTCCAAATTGCAAAATGCAGTCCAACTGTTGTTAGTTAATATTCGGTGGACGTTCGCAACAGTGTGGTTTCGAATTCAGTTTGGAAAGTGAATTCCTAATCAGGGGTAATGACACAAGCTGCTGCCGTCGAGCTAAACCTAAGAGCTTTATTGCACCTTTGTCAGGGGGAATTTCCGTTTGCTGGGATGTAAGGTGGTATCGTTGATCATATTCGATCGCGAGGATTTGCCTCCTCAACAGTAGCGTGGCGTGCTTTGCGATATATCGATTGATCTGCCATTTAAACCTGTATGGAGAAGGATCGATAGACAGGGTGTTCCCAACGAACACCCTAATAATCGATTCTTTACCACAGTTTCAAATGGGGAACTATCTATAATCGATCACTCATGCCTCGCCACTGCTTCTCGAATCATCAACGCGCAAAATTTCGCTGAGTAATGTTTGGGTGAAATTGCAGTTAGATTGCGAATATGAATTCCTGAAAAATCGGAAGAAAATTGTCAACGAGTTTTTCAGTAAATTCTTGGTACATCAAAGGCAATTTTGCAACGTCCAAAAGCCCATTCGGAGTTTTTCCACAGCACGGTGGTATACAAATATCTCAATCGCCAGATGACGTCCAGCTGGGTGGTATTAAAGTTACCTTTGCCAAATTTCTGGTCCGCAAAGAGTTCTCGATCCCGGCCAAAAATATTAAATCCACGCAACTTGGACGGTTTTACGAGCTGCGCTCAGCTTGGAGAAGTAGTTACAAAATAGTCGATTCATGTCTGTAAAACACTTTGAGATGTAATACTGCGCGGCGCCGCATATACCGTTCATAAAAATACATCTACTTTCCCAGCCGAGCAACTTGTTCTCTATAAAAGAAACTGATTTTCCAAAATAAGTGCGTCGAATGAGTTGAAAAACATTAGGATTTTTTTAACTGCACAGTCAGAAATGCAGTGTCTCTGTGTGCTCAACAGCCTACTCAACAATTCCCTCTCGGGAATCTTACTTGCAGCGGCTCATACAACTTGTATTCCTGCTTGGATCCTAAATAATTGAAATTATTTTGGATTTTTAAAGGGTTGATGTTTGTGAAATCTGACAACTATAAAGTATCAAAGAAGTTAGGACTTCAGATCGACATTTTGTTAAGAAGTTTGAAAGTTTTCACATCAGCTTGATCAGATGATCCCTTTAAAGAGTACGTCCTCTTGAACTACCGCAGCTATTATTTTTTACATATTATATGTGTGCGCAAAGCGCAAAATTCACGATGATTTTCTCCAATATAGAATTTTTTATTTCTTAGGAATGATCATGATAAGTTCTTGTTATTTGCATTAAAATGCAAGAAAAATAATCACTCCTTACCCTCCTGTAGTCCCTGGCTGGCCAGAGATACATTTGTTGACGGGAAGGAGAGAGTTGAATGACAAATCAATTGCTGTAAATAATATGTTTTGTTCTTTTTTATTTAGTGCCAACGCTTAATTTGGGTTTTCTATGCTTTGCCTCCTAAGCGCAACTGCTATTGGTTGATACTGCGGCCACCTACAAATAAATTTGTTTCTCTTATTTTTACAAAATTCGGAACCATCTGACGTTTTCCGATTGAAATTCTATGATAGGTTGATGTATTATAATGAGTTGTGAGAGAAATCATTTATCGAACATCATCATCAACAATCATTCATCAACATTTATCGAATCATGCAGCAAACCCAACTAAATTATGAGGCCTCGGCCAACCTAAACGTTACAAATTTGTAAGACACGGCACTCTTAGTTAAGCCAATCGTAGACAAATTATGCACTGTAAAACGCGTATTACAGTAATCTCATCCCTTAAATCACGTTTCAAGTCTCAAATTAAATGATCCTAACAATCAAATGTAAAAAAAATAATAATAATAAAATAAAATAAAAAAAGATTAAGAAATTAATCATGATTGAATACGGTCTGGCTAGGAGTATATTTTCATCATTGATTGTAAAAATACAAGCTAGTCAAAAATCACGATGGATTCCTTTGCGATAATCATACGGCAGTCTATTTTTAAATGGAATCTGCAATAATAATGATTGAGTGCTTCATTATAATCACACCCTATTAGTTACAGACGAACGAGAACAAGCATGAAAAATTCTACCAACGCCGAGAGCGCCTTCATTTAGCATGATACTACGCCACATCACAGGGACGTTAATATAGTTGTTTCTTTGACGGCGTTGGGGTGAGAAGTTTTTAGCTCACTAGAAGGAACAGTGAGCTAAACTCTTTACCGTAAATCAAGGTCAAAAAAGCTAAGAAAATTGCCTCTACAACACTTTCACGTGCAAACGTTCCATTAATCTTTCTATACAACGGTAGACGTATAAAATTTAAGATTGCTTTGTCAACCTTCAACAATTATCATCCTCTAATGTTGGTAACCCCAGCCGAGGATATTATCAAAAGCACATGCAGTTGGCTTCCACGGATGTAATTCCAGATTTTACCATTATCGTATTCTTGACTAGCTGAAGTATTTTGGTTTTTGCCCGTTGAACCAACCTGAGGAATTAGAAAAATATACGTGAACAGTAAAATTGATACCTTTCAAAAATCAATGGAATTTTTACTTCGGTTTTGGAATGACTAAATATTAATTAGGTTTCTATTTATTTCTCACCTCGGCGTCACTTCAAACAGTTCATTAAAAGTAGGCATTCCACACTAATGTATAGCACTCGCTTATCGTGCAATACCTGTAGATATTATACCTCAAAAAAAGGTTTTTCTCTCCGGCAAATTCCCTCTTGATACGTGGAGGTAACTTCGACCGTTTCATTAAGTCATTCTCATTATAGCTAAGTTCTCTGTGCTTGCGAATGTAACATCCTCTTACTGCCTTGATGGGTCATTGGGTTTCCAAAGGTGTAGTCACAGTGACACCTCTCTTTAGAGGAAGTTAAATCACCCTGGTAAAAATTGGCAGTAGAATCTGTGTTCCAAAATACCATAGACCTACGGCCGGCTGTAAGATTTCCAATAGCTTCTATAGCCGGCTACACAATTTCTTATAGCCTTTTATAGCCGATGGTGACTAAGCAACTGACAGCCAGGCGATAAAGTGTATGCTAAACGTCACTAATTACGGATGCTAGGACTTAGTGAGTTTTTGGACCACTGTGTTCTTTTTGGGCCGTAGAATCTTGATTTATTTTGCGAGGAAAGCTCCGTACTTTTGATGAATGCCTGCCATTCCTAATATATTAGAGCGCCTTCAGTTTCGTATGATACTGTGCAATACCTCTGGTGTGAAATAGTTGCTTCAAGCGCCGTGGCACGCTGCGGCGCGGCAGGCGGGCAGCCAGCGCGAAACGTGCATTGGCGCCTACAAACCTAACAGGGATACTTAACGCGTTGCGCAATGCGTGAAGTATCCCTGTTAGGTTTGTAGG